TATCCCCAAAGTTGAACAATTTTATGTTATTTAAAACGAACACTTGTAAGCATCTTGTTTCTAAAATGACAACAAAACTTGTTTCTTTATTACATGAAATTTGCGAAATACATACATATGTATGTATGAATGTAATATTTTCAAGTGATAAAATCAATGACATGACAGGCTGTCGGATCATCCAATAACTATTTTATCTAACAATATCAAAACTCAGGCATGAATAAATACCAATACACATATGTGTATGTTTTTCGTTCCATTCCGGAAAGATTCTTGGTTGATAAATTAAATTAATGTGTTTTAAAGTTGTCAATAGCAACACCATTAATACCTCAATTTCAACTATACTAAATTTGTATGGCTTCATTTCCTTTTTGAACTGACTCTTGCCACAGCCTCATCCTTTCTGGCTGCGCATGCGCACTAATGCTGAATGGTATGCACGTCTTTTTAAGTAAAATGTCAAGTTGTTAATTTATTTTTACATATCCGTTTTTTCATTTCTAATTATTTAAAGTATTTTAGGGAAGCACAAGGATTCATTTAATTTGTCGTTTGACTTCCTGTCATCTGTTCTTACAGAACGATTTTTCAAATAAATGCAGATGGCATTGCTTTAAGAAATGGTTTTAACACTACACGAATTTGTGCTGGGGGAGATGGCGGCGATCTGAAAAGAATGGATATTTTTACCATACATACGCACACATATGATACATTGGATTTACTAAAACAATTGGAAAAGTGTAGCTGATTTTTAATTTACATAAAATTTGATTGTGCACTCGGAATGTCAAGATAATCACAAATACACGCAAACAGACTGCTGTGGTCACTGCTGAAACGGACCCTCTAACTAAATAACCGAAAATTGTATGTCGTAATTGTCTATTTTCTTGAGAAACCGTGCTAATACTCAGTAAAAAATATGTATGCGTCAAAATCGTTATTAATATTTCATTAAGCTTCTTTAGTGAAACTCATCAATTTAGTAATTTAATCGTAAAACATACGACTAACCTAAACGAGATACGAAACGATTTTCATTAGTCACGTCCTTCTTGTTGACTTGTGACCAATGAGTAGTCATTTAATATGTACATTAGTGTCATACACATCAGCTTACAGTCAGAGGTACGCTGTCAAACACAAATATTAACTTGAAACATATTCTGAGATTCTAAGTGCTTCTATTTTAGTCCACATTTTCCGTGCATTTTATGACGAATGTCTCAAAATAATTGAATTAGACTTGGTAGGTCCTATGCAGAATTCTAAGCCGAAAATGGCGTTGTATCGACGGATAAATTATTTTATGGCAAACAAATTTGCCTAAAGTTTAAGTTTGCGTTTCCTAATAAGTGCAATACATTTGTGGAAACAAAGTTATTAGTATTGTAGTTTCTAATCTAGTTTGCTATAAAATTTGTAAGAACAAATAACTATTTGTAATATTTAATTTTGTTTTTGGGAAATATTAAGGTAAGAAAGATAAAATTTTTTTAAGTTGTGATTTAAATTTAATTATGAACCCAAAACCGAATAAAGTAGTGTTTTTTTAGGTTAAAACGATTTTGGAAAAACTATAAAATATATTAGAAATCTGTAAATTATTACTGATTCGCAAAATATCTCGCTATGTTTAGACATAAGCCCTTTTCGTTTTTTACAGCCTTTTTAGCTTAAAAAAACAAGATCATAAATGCGCTTATTTTTAATAGCTTTTTTTCAGAGTTTTAAATGTTCAAAAATCTTGTGCCACCTTGGTAGTACTTAACCTTAATGTAAATAATTTTTGGTTATTGGTAATTTTAAATAAATGGAGGTCCCTAACATCATTTGGAGCGGAAACGGTAAGTTTGGAGACTGAATTTTGAATAAATCGTATAATACAATTATTATCACAGTTTTAAAGCGAACTGGTCTCATTTTATATTATTTAGGATACATAGACAGCTGATGAGGAACTAAGCGATTAGTGTATTAGCCACACCCACTTTTTTAATATTATGTGTATTTTCAGAATAAAAGAAATACAGAAAACATGAACACATTTTAAGAAACATCAATACACTAGACGAAAATTTTCTTACACAGGGACATCAAACATCTTTCACCGCGCTAATTAAAGGTTATTTCGTTGTGGCATGCGTTTAACCTGCTAAAAAAGGATAACAAATAAGGTACTTGGATGTCAGTAATTGGAACAAACAGAATTTTAACAAAATTGTTAGATAAAATATTGAGAACAAAGAAAAATACATACATATATAAATATGGTATAATTATAAGAGCGTGCAAGCGCAGTGAAGTAGGTCTGAAGGCGTGGTCGATAGTTTTAGTAAAGAAAGTATTTTGTTTAATAGGAAAACCGACTTGCCTGTCTTTTCTAATTCCAAAATTGTGCAAATATTTTATTTAACATATGTCTGTATGTAGTATATTTAAAATCGTAAGTACTTTCGTCAAGCACTATACTTGGATAACAATAACAAAGTGAATCCATACATAGAGTATATACCTACACCTATCTACATATGTCCATTTGTATGAAGGTATACCACATTCACCACGCTATTAAGTACCTACTTAATGTATCTGCCGATTCTATACATATTTGTACCAATATGCATTCAGTGTCGTATCAAGGATATCGGCTTGGAGGGTCATGAAGTTTGACTTCATTGCGATATGATACACATTTACAAATATAATTAAAATTTTCAAATCTATTTTAAAATATATATTTTTTAAATTATGAACGAGTATAATAATAAAATTAAAAAGATGCGATTTGAAATCTTAAGCAACTGAAGCAAAAAGTTAAATAATATTATTTTAGTACGAAATCACAATTAGAAAATGTCGCTGTCAAGGGATATTACAGATATGCTAATATTTTATTTTTCAAGCTATATTGCTTTTATTAGAAGATGTTAAATTGATCACATTCTACAATATTACTGAACCCCCTTTTTCAATCCGCTACTGTATACATATGTATGAAAATATACATCCGTACATACATATGTATGTACATAATCTGCATGGGTATGCATAGTTTTATCCTTTAAAAAACCATAGATTTCTAACGTTATGAACAAACACATACAGTTCGTTCTGCAACATAAATTCCAAATTAAACTGGACATGCACATTAGTAGGCACCGTTGGACACTCCTTTATGTATCGTAGAAAGGTTTGAAAACGAAAGGATTTAGGCTGTAGATATCGGCAAGCGTCACTTAAGACAGCAGGATATCTGAGGAGCAAAACACATCTGCTGCAATGCAATTGTATAATTTTTGATTGTAAATTAGCAATAAAGGTCGAAAATGTTTCAAATTAATGAGTTCGATGGGTATAGGTATACAGATACATGTATGTGTGTACATATTTGATTCGAAACTAAACTCATACGAGTATACATATTCATATCTTATCGTATTTGAATATATTTGCAAAGATAATAAATGTTCTAAGCAATCAGTAAAAACATACCATAATATAGCATTGTGCAATTACTTCTTTATTAAAAAGTATATACAAAAAACTGTTATTTTATTCCAAGAAAGTTTTTATCTAAATTTTTTTTCTTTTTCTACTTTATTTCTGCGAAATGTAGTGTTATTTCCCCCTTTTTTCTTTCAGCTCACTTTATTTTTCAATTCACATTGACCATTATTACCGATTGGCAGGATATTCAGACAATTGTAAGAGTTGTGTAATTTATTAGACGTTTGCTTCGTAGGATACCTCTTTGTTTCGAGAATCCCACACAGAACACTTAAATGCTAGGTATCTAACTATGAATGTGCAGATATACATATGTATGTACATATGTATAACCAAATACATGCACAGTACTGTGCGGAGTTACCCTTTTCTATGTGTCCTCTGCCATCTTGATTCTGCTCTACAGCAGTTGCTATTTTTTGTTCGTTGCTATTTATTGTATAATAAGAATCATGTCTGCTGCCAAGGTTTTCCTGGGACTCTATTTTTACCACACTTTTTTGCACAAGTGCCTTTATTACGTTGCTGCGTCCATAAACTAGAATTGGATAGCAGTAACAACAACACAAAATTAAAATACATTATTTTTTTCAAACTTTTGTGATATTGGGACTTTATATATTTAATTAATTTAATACGCTAATTTTAATTAATTTCCAATTTCACTGTTATCATTAATTATCCCCGATAATACATAATACAAGTATAATTGACATTCTCGGCTCTGGCTCTCCTCATTTTGCTATTTTTACTCTCGCAACATTTAGCACAAAGTATAATAGTTTTGTTCAAATAACGTTTGTTTTTTTATTAGTAATTATACTCGAAAATGATGAAAATATCTTCAAATTAACATATCCTGGTGCACATGTGGCTTAGTACCCTAAGATGGGATATGGGAAAAACAAATATAAATGATTATAACTGTAACAAATAATCACATAACTTAAAATCGGTAGAGAGGATCACAATAGAGAAGGACATCTATGATTTAAAAAATCCTGAACAGTGGGTATGGCACCGCCATATACCCAATATACTGATTTTCGTCCATCCAGGTGATTTTATACCGAAACATGCTCTCAGCACGCAAAATTATGGTATGACCTATATTATAAGTTAATAATGCTGCAAAAGTAATTGCAAATGAGGCATTATTTTTTTTTTTTAATAATGAATTTTGAATTCATATGCAACATGTTTTAGGATAAATTTATTTTATTTATTATGTTTATTAACATTCTCTGATTGTAGATAAACCAATTCCAGATAATGTTAATAATTTTATAATTTAAGATTTTTCTATCAAAAGCATATATTTTAAATAAATAAATAAATTTATTAACATTCTCTGAGAAAACTCACAATATACTCTTGGTAGCCAGATGGCGCTCAATTCAGAAAATGCTTCTTTTTTTTTAATCCACGTTCTCTGCTTTTGACATTTTATTATGCATTCCACAATTTATTCTCGCTACATTTGACATTTTCCGCTAATATTGTGTTAGTGTAAATTTTGTTTTTGTAGCCTTGTTACAATATAAATTTGCCTTGAGCATGTTTTGTAACTTGGAATACGGTTGTAAATAAAAGACTATATTACTGGATTTGTAATTTCTAAATAACAAAGGATTTAAATAAATACACTGTCATAACACTAGAATATTAGTCAAAGTAAAAAAAAATTGTAATTTAGAAAAACAGCAAAGTGTTGCTTCTAATTCGCAAAGATTTTATTATCTAAAGCATTTTTTACGCTTCCGCCAAACGGAAAATTGCATTATTGAAACGTCAACAACAACGGGTAGAGAACGCCTAAAATAAATAATAACAAATTCAACATTCTCTGCAACAAGTTTTGTACTGTGAAGGCAGAAATTAGTTTTGCGTAATTTTCTTTTAGCGCAATCTATAAAATGTCAAGCTTTCGGAAACGGCATGTGCAAAAACCAGTACCAGGCACACGAACTAGTCCACAAACAGGACAGATAATAACTTCCAGTGGAAATCCATCGTTTGATGTTATTTTTGGTAAAAAATGAAGTAATTAAAATAATATTATTGTTAAACTGTTACGAATTTTTAGGAGGTGGCTTGCCTGTTGGCTCAATATGTCTAATTGGTAACGTTGATCATCTAATAAATGTACCGAAATAAGGACTTTATTTCTTCTTTTTATGATATAGAGGAAGATAAGTACGTAACATTTTCAAAGGTTTTAGCGAAATACTTTATCGCGGAGGGAGTGGTTTCCGGACAATCGGTTTTGTTAGGAAGTTTGGATGATGATCCACAGGAATTGATGCGCAAATTGCCAAAACCACTCAATGACTATGAAGTGGAAATTGAAAAATCTAAAGAGCAAACTAACGATGAGGCCCTTAAAAATGGTTTACGAATTGCATGGCGCTATAATGATCTTCCGCCAGTAAATTCTGAACAAGTACCCAGTAAAATAGGCCACCATTTTAATTTGATGGAACATATGGACAAAAATTTGCTAGACTTTGTAGACACTCTATTGTGGAATGGAAATTCATATGTTAATGACTGTGGGTTAGGTGATGAGGATAATGTATTCGCCGTGGTTGATTCAAATGCAGAGTCCAAAGACGACACTGATCAAAATACGACGAGCAGCAGCAGTGGAAGCAACATCAGTTGCAAAGAAGTTGATTTAGAACAGGAAAGAATTAATGTTGCAGCAGCTCTACTGGTTGGTAGTTCCAATGAAAGTCCTGAGATTCAAAATACAACTAAATTGCAAGTCAATGCTGTGCAGATTCCTACAATTTCAGGCCAAAAACAAAATAATAATTGTGAAAAAATCTTCAATAATTCGAAATATCAACGTTTTCTTAAATTAGTTCAATCATTTGCCAAGGAGGAAAAATTTTCATCGAGTGCATTGGTGTATCGTAGCCTTTGTCGTATATGTATAACATCACTGGGATCGCCACTTTGGTATGATGAAGAATTTCCGAAAAATATTTTAAAATTTCTAACAGTGTTAAGAGGCATAGTAAGGAACTCAGTATCTGTTTGTTTTATCACTATGCCTATGCATTTGATATCCAAATATGTAAGTATAAATTAGTGGATAATTATCGCAGAAACTAATAGTAAATCTTATATAAAGGATGAGTCACTTGTTCCCAAAATACGGAATTTGGTTGACTATGCAATCGAATTAGAATCATTTAGCGGCTCTGAACATGAAACCAACATCGCTTTTAAAAATTACAGTGGTCTAATACATTTACACAAAATAACAGCTGTTAATACACTTACTGCCTATATGCCAGAAACTTCCGATTTAGCATTTAAGTTACGTCGAAAGAAGTTCGTCATTGAAAAGCTTCATTTGCCTCCAGGTAATTTATATTTATCTTGCTATAGAAACATAAAAACCAACTTCTTTCTTTTTTAGAAATGCAAGAAGATATCAAAGGAAGTATGCAAACATTTAGTTGCAGTGGTGGCTCTTCAGCCAGTGCTACCTCAATGGATTTTTAAGTGCACTGTTTTTTGCTATGCAAATTCAATTTCGTTCAACAAAAGGAAAAAAAAATAGATTGGTTATTTGTTACAGCTTAACTATAAAAAATTCAAATATACATAATTTTTTTTTGTCTGCAATTATAAAAAATAAAACCCACAATGTGTTTTTTAACCCCCAAATATGTGTTTTATATCGTAAATTATGTATATAAAAATTAATACAAATCAAATTAAAGATAACTTCATTCAAATTTTAGTAACTTTGTCAAAGATATAATGCCTATTTTAAAATTGCATATATTATCTGCACTCATAAGGAATATATTTTTCAGCTGTTTTGAAATTTTATGAGTTTACATATTCGTGTGATTGAATATATAAGTACATACATAAAAACAATTATACATACGTTTTACGACACATTCAACTATGGATAATTATTCAACAGGTAGCAGCAGTATATTTAGACGCTTTCCGTTATTTCTTTTTTTTTACCACTTTGTGGTTCTCTCCGAACAGCTTATAAAGATAACGCACAAATTAAATGAAAGAGAAAGAGAGTGGGACATTTAAATTGCAAATTTTATTCAATTCATGATTCAATACAATTGTTAGCTTGTTTACATTTAATAACAACGGTAACATTGTATCTAATATTCGACGCATTTGAAGAAGCTCTTTGACATCAATCACACCGTAGTAGACCATCAGTTGTATTTAGTAGTCGGTGAGCAGTAGATTGAATAATTTAGTCGTGATTTTATTTAATATTAAATTCTATAAAATTTTGAAGGTAACGGATGAATAAATTAACTAAACATAGATAATTTAGATGCATGTATTAAATTATTCGTTTTTAATCAAATTATGTACTAAATTGTCTCTGGAACCATTTTGTTGTCATTACTATTGTATTCATCCCATAAATGAGAATAACATGTACATCACTTTTTTACATGCTTACATACATATGTATATGTATATATACTAAAAGTTCACATCAGAATATATATCCATACTTACAAAAGTATATTATAAAAGTTAACAAAGTAAAAATCGGACAATGACGCGCCCATTCAATCATAAATTATTGCTCAATTGTTGTAATCTCATTTTTTTGGTAAGTACATGCAAATAAATTGATGTTTTAACTTTATAAAAAAAAAATTAAGAATAAATTTACATACATTTGTGTTGAATGAAGAACATTGTCCAGTGCATCTGCATTTCATAAAATGTTCGATATTGTCCGTTATGCTCTACTGCTTACACTATATTATACTTTCTCAACATGTTGCACAGATTATAATAGTTGTTGTAACGGCTGAAACTAATCAAGATAGATATAGAGCTGTGTATTTAAAAATGATCAGAAGGATGGAGCGAATTGATTTCCGGATGTCTTCCTACATGGAAGCGATAACATGAGTAAAAATGTATATATCTGGATTAAACCTGATACACATGATGAAACCATTAGCATCATTAAATTTAACTATAAAGATACTGCAGCTTGATGGCATATAAATCGCTTAAAAAAATCATACAGTGCGTGCGACACAGCCTACCGTTATGTGAGATCTCATATCTCAACAATTACCAGACAAGTCCTATCCAAATTTGTTACATAAGATAACTTGAAATCAGTTTGGAAATGAGCAAAAGTGAACTACAACCACGTTCGTTTTCACGACAGTCGGGCCTACGTAACCGGAACGGACCCGGATTTTTATCTAATCAAAGACTGTCAACTCGGCAGAATTTTGCTGCTACAAGAACAACAACCACGCTTACTTCCCATACGATACCAAATTAATTTTAAAATAGAGTGTGGCTAAATTGATATATTTTCTGAAAATAATGTTGTAAAAAAAATTAATAAAAGCGATTACATTT